CTAGTATATATTATTTAAGATATCAATGACCAAATTTATGATATAGTATTAAGTTATCTTTGTATAATTTGTGATATCATTTTAAGTAATTGAAATATATCAATTTATATGGTATGTTATCGAGTTTTATAACTGAAATGAATATTAGATTTATAATTAAGATTTATTATTATCGAGTTTGAACATATATTACTACGTTTATATGTAGTTTTTGGTTCAAATTGTTTGTAGATAATTACAATATCAAAAACCTAATTTGTAACTATAATATATTTATACCATACTAACCCATAACATGAAATATACGATATAACATGATTTTTTATTATATAACATGGTATACCATATTAATATATAACATGCTATATGAAATCATACTACACATTATATGTAGTTTTTTGTGAAAATTATTTGTAGATAATTGTAATATCAAAAACATAATTTATAACATATAACATATCTATATCATATCAACACATAGCATGAAATACACGATATAACATGATTTTTCACTATATAATATGGTATACCATACTAATATATAACATGTTATATGATATCATACTACACAATACTTTGTTAATATAACATGTGATATGAAAAAATGTTATGCCATACAAACATATAATAAACCATATATTGTATAATATTTTATTGTAATATTATATGAATCATACGAGTAATATATATTCGTTTTTAAAATTTGAAATTGCTATATATGCGGGAAAAAATATAGTCTTTTTATATATATACATAGTATAGAAAGATTTCAATTTAAATTAATAGTATACCAAACACATATCAAATGGGAAAATTTTGATGGAAAAAAAACTGTCCAATCATTTGCTTTTTATGATAGGAGATTCTGTTTTGCCGTACGACGTGTCAGAAATATTTAGTGGACCAAAAAGGCAATTCAGAAAAAATAAGTTCTTTTAGCTCTCCCACTTAATTAATTTTGTTTTGGTCTATCACTTTTATTTTAGTTTTAAAGAGTAGTTTATTCTAATTCACCCTTAAAAATATGAGTTTTGGACTTAAAATTAAGTAAATAAAAATAGATAAATACAAAGAAGAGAAAATGATAGTATCTTGTGTTGCCATCTTCCATCTTCGCGACAATTGATGAAATCTCAAAGCCCTTTGGAGGACGTACATTCTCTATATCCCAGCTGTTCACCTCGAGTTCTCTTTCCTTTCTCTTGAGCACGATGCATCCCAATTCACTGGTCCAAATTTTTCGTCGATTGAGAGAAAAAAGACAACAAAATTTAGGATTTCTTACTTTTTTTGAAAGTGTATTGGGCTTGAGCCAGTTATTTTCATCCTCCCAAAAAAACTAAAACAAATTAACATGGTTCAATTTTTTTTTTGTTTGAGTAAAAATATCTATTTGATTTCACAGAACTATTAAAGATAGATAAATCAACAATTAATTCTTAGGTCATTTCGATTCATTTCATTTTTTTTTTTTGCTATAACAACATTTTTAGTTGAAGAAATTATTTCAAGATTATTTTTTTGGGTTATTTTTTTTTTGTGAAAATTAACTCCTACATATATTCTTGAATGTGACATTAGGTGAGTTAGGTGGATATAGATATGTAGCAGCTTGCTACTGGTTATAGACTTATAGTTTCACATTTTATCTTCTCACCTATTAACCTCCAAACTCTCAACTACTTGATATGATAAATCGGATATTTGG